GGGAGAAAGGTATTGTGAAAATGACAGAAGGATAAAAATTGAATCAGAATAATAAAACTCTATCTGCAAAGCCAAGTAAGAATAAGGGTCTGGGTGAATGTGGAAGGCCACCTCTAGTGACTGAGGTAGAAGGGAATGTGAGGCACTGTGTGCCTATCCCTGCTGGATTCCTACTCATAATGAATCACCACGTTCTTGAGGTTGATCTAGTAGCCAGTTTGTTGATATAGAGGAAAATTACTCAGGGGAGAGGTGCCAGGGAGATGTATTAGGAGCTTACTGGGAGTAATAATAACTCTGAAGGACTCTTAAAAACACTACTCTAGACAATATTTGAACCAAGTTGGCCTTCTTTAAAACTTGCCAGGGGTATGTTGGCAGAACAAAGGGGAATATTGAGCACAGTATTCAGTATCACTTGGAGCCCACTGTGGATGCTATTAAGATCTAAGGTTGGGGAATATCATGAGGAGAGCAAGAGTTTTTTCATGGAGTCTGTCCTTGACTCCCGTGGGCACCAATGAAAATGCTTTGCCTTGCTGTAAATTGTGCACTATATACCCTACCTTTGCCCCTGTAGATCTAATTTCCATCTTTCTCTGCCCTGTTCTTTCCCCTGACTTATGTGAACTGCATCCTTTGTCCTCCCTCTTCAGGTTGGGTTTGCTCAAAAGGATTGGAGAGGAAGAGAAGAGTGACATCACAGTGTTTACTTCCCCATTGGTCTGCTCTTGACTTCTGTGTAAACTACTGTATTCCTTAACTACAAATCCATGGAAGATCTATTATTGTTGGCTTCTACATAGCTCTTTTATTGTTTATGTTTTGTTAGCTACTCTCTGTTATTTCAAGCCTAGGCATGGTCATGATATTCAAGTCTTAGGAACATGCTTAGGATTTTGCACTCTACCTAGTGGTTTTCCTACACCTTGCTCACAACTTCACACATCACTTTTTCAGATTGCCAGCTTTGAGTAAGTTTCTTCCTGCCACAAAATATAGCAAATGACAAATGGTGCATCAATGTCCAACAAGTGGACCTTAAATGAGATTCTGGAATTGGGTTGCTCACATATTTGAGAAATTCACAGATAACTCTTTTGCTGTCGAGAAATAGGAGTAACCCAGGGTATGTTCTAGTATTTAGTATGCACATGCAACATGCAGTGAGGCAGGTGAAAGACAAAGTGTTTGGCAATCAAGGGCTGTGTTGATCCTTTACTACGACCATAACAATAATTATATAAATGTTGCAGTATTGGCTAGCCTACTATGAAAGGTATATAGTACAACCAATTTTTGACATATTGATAGTTTCTGATTAGATGGCCAGTGAGACATTGAAAGAATTACTAGAACACAGTTGCCTAGACAGTGTATTAAAAGGCAGAGACATCACTTTGCAGACAAAGGTCGGTATAGTCAAAACTATGGTTTTTCCAGTAGTTAATAGATGTGAGAGTTTGTCCATAAAGAAGGCTGAGTGCCAAATAATTGATGCTTTTGAATTGAGGTACTGGAGAAGACTCTTGAGAGTCCCTCAGACATCAAGGAGGTCAAACCAGTCAATCCTTAAGGAAATAGACATTGAATATTTATTAGAAAAAACTGATGCTGAAGCTAAAGTTCCAATACTTTGGCCACCTGATGGAAAGGAGCTGACTCTTTAGGAAAAGACCCTGATGCTGGGAGAGATTTAGGGCAGGAGGAGAAGGAGGCAACAAAAGATAGATGTTTGGATGGCATCATTGTCTCAATGGATGTGAGTTTGAGCAATCCCCAGGAGATAGTGAAGAACAGGGAAACCTGGCATGCTGCAGTCCATGGACTAACAAAGATTCAGATACAGCTTAGTGACTTAACAAAAACACGGTTGTTATTATACAACAATCATTATCCTATCATTGGATTTGTTATATGTTCATTGCTTGGATTTGGTTAAGGTTTATGTGTTTTAGTCTCCCACCCTTTATATTTGCTCCCTGACCTCAGTTAACCCTATTTGATTCTATATCAGAAGTTAAATGAAGGCAGCTTATTGCTATGCAGATTAGTTTAATTCAGTCATTCAGTCTTGTCCAACTCTTTGTGACCCCATGTGACCCCAGAGAAACAGCACACCAGGCTTCTCTGTCCATCACCAACTCTGCAAGTAAAAGTTACCAAATATTTCAATGACAAAATAAGAAAGTGTGGCAGTTACCACATTCTCTAAGCAATATTAAACAACTTATGAGGTCACTAGCTTTGAAAGGTTATAGTACTGTAGATTTTGCTGAAAAGAAACTACATAACATGTCATGTATAATTTCAACTTCTCTTTACACTTTTTCTCTGATCCCAGAGAATTAGAAAGTTGTGTGGTATAGTCTGAATACTGGCTCATTCATATACTTTCCTAGGACAAGTTAATTTATTACTTCTAGTTCACATTGTCATCATCTACATAATTTGACTATTATAACATCTTTTACTATTTTGTGAAGAAAACATATGATAATGAATGTGGCCAGTACAGTGCTCAGAACATAGAAATGTGTAGTGGAAGCTTTATTTTAATCCCCAGCCCAAAATCACCCAAACTTTATCAATGACATTTATGATTTCTTTTGAACTGTATTTCTTTACCATCTGAGCCACCAGGGAATCCCTTTTTTTTAAACTTTATTTATTTATTTTGCTTTTATTTTATGTTGGAGTATAGTTGATTCACAATGTTGTGACACTGATGATTTCTGAATAGAAAAATTAAGAACAAGTAGGGTGATAATGCTGTAATAAATATGTGTATGGTGGGGGAGGTGGTGTTACAGCATCTGGCATTCAAGGAATTCTATAGGTTTTACCAAATTCTTGTATTCTTGACTGTAGAAAATACTATTTTAGCCAGATTATTCATTTGAAATAACAAAATTATCATTCAGGCTTTGTTATAGATTGAGTTACATTCCCTCAAAAAAGATATGTTTAAGTTCTAACCACTTTAGAAAGTGACCTTATTTAAAAATAAGATCATCACAGATGTAATTAGTTAAGACTCAGTCATACTGGTGTAGGATGAGCCCATAATCCAATGTCAGTGGTATCTTTAGAAGAAGATGGCCATAGAATATCATGTGGCAGTAAAGTCAGAAATTGGTAGTAATCCAGCTGCAAGCCAAAGAATATCAGAGATTTCTGGGAAACCACCAGAAGCTGGAAAGAAGCAAAGAGGAATTCTTACAGGGTTCAGAGGGAGCATGGCACTACTGATATCTTGATTTTCCATTTCTAGCTTCTGAAAATGTGAAAAAATAAATGCCTGTTATTTTGATTAACATTTCTTGGTACTTTGTTATGGCAGTCCTAGGAAAAAATATGGACTTAAAAGTTAAGTACAAAACGTAGAAATCATTGAGGAATAGCTTTCAGAACTCTGCTTGGAATCACTCAAAGAATTGTAGTTCCCAACTACCTAAAGACTACCAACTCTAGGGATGCAAACATGAAATCAACTGCAAACATGAAATATATCCTACATAAGACAGAGATCACAGCACTTCTCTTAAAAAGAGCGTGAATAATTGGATTAGTCTTGGATATTTTCCCTTTATGGTTTACTTTTTATCCTATTTTTTAACCAAATAGATGATGTTTTCAGATATTTTTCTTTATTACATTTTTAGTCTCTTACTAGTCCAAGTGATGATTTAAACAAATTTAAAATGTTTTATTAAAAAAATTAAAATGTTTTATTATTATTTTCTCAAAAGCAAGAGCTAACTGCATCCTGAACCTCCACATTGAGAAATTTCACAATGCATTAAAAATGAATGGCTCCAGTGATCACCAAAAAAGAGTGATTATTACACTATTTATAAAAGTTGGACATTATCCTAATACAGAGATGCTGTTATAAGAACTTCTTTTTATTGTTCTTTTCCACAAACAGAGGAAAAAAAATCACAAAAGAAGGGAAAAGTGAATTATTCTCTTTAAAAGAAATGGATTAATTTTTAAAGCAAGAACACATTGCTATACAGGTATGTTGTTTAGGTCAAAACATATTGAAGAGAAACAGTTTGGAGATAAACATTCAAACAGCCTCCAAATTAGTTAAAATCATTTCTTTCAATATCTGGGGGTCACAGCCATATCATGTATGCTGATACTATACTGATTTTTTGTTCTCTTCCTGAAAGAATATCTTTCTGGATAAGTGCACTGTGGAGAAGGAGTGATAGAGCAAAAACTGCTGAATTATTAAAAGTTTATATATATATATATATATACATATACATGTATAGTCTTATATATGTGCTTCCTTCATAGCTCAGTCAGTAAAGAATCCGCCTGCAATGCAGGAGACCTGGGTTCGAGCCCTGGGTCAGGAAGATCCCCTGGAGAAGGAAATGGCAACCCACTCCACTATCCTTGCCTGGAAAATTCCATGGGCAGAGGAACTTGGTGAGCTACAGCCCATGGGGTGGCAAGAACTGGACACGACTTAGCAACTAAATCAATCTCATATATATATAGTCCTTTCCTATATATCCATAGGAAAGACCATGTGGAATACTCATGTCAAGATCATTTGGGAAGATAATCAAGCTGAGTAGACAGGCAGATCAGCCAAGAAAGAAATCATATATAAAATGAGAACCACCAAAATCAGAATTATTTAAATATGGTTGCCATGTTTACAAATAGACTGAACAAAATATCTCAGTAAATAAAAAGTAGTTTTCCAAGGGAAAGCTAGAAGTATCCACAACACAGAACAAGAACAAAGATAACAAATGCCAAGCATTCAGCTAAAACAAGCTGCTTAATTAGTTTTCCTCTGCCTCATGAAGAACAAACAATTGCTTTCCATGTTTATAACTTACCAAGCACATTCTTTAGGGAATAATTTATTCTTATTAAAGTTTTGCATGATCATTTTGTATTGAATTTACTTCACTTTAAAAGCAGAATTCTAACTTTCATACTTTTATTTCAATACTCAGGAGTGGTCTTTACAAAGCAGATGATAAATTAGGTGTTAGCAATATTTTCTAGAACTGTGCAACACAGCGTGAGGTCTACAGACAGGTTTGCTCTGCAAGATATTTGTTACCAGAAAGCAGTAAGTACAAAGGTTACAAGTTTTAAAAACTTTTCTAGCAGTTGATGGTCTCATGTCATCAAGCTTGTGAGTAGACTTCTCTCGCTGAACAGAATCTAGACCAACTGGGTGTTGTTTAACTTGTAGTTGAGTTCTATAGAACAGAAGCTTCATATTAGTCATTTATAGTTGGACCATGTATTGAACTATGACAGAATGAAAACTGAACAAAATGCCTTTTATTACACATAGTTTGGTACAGCAGCAGCAACGTGGAGTCTGAAATCAGAAAGCCTTACTTTCAAATACAACACCACATTCCTTTCTTCCTGTGATTTCACGGATGTTGCTTGACTTCGAAAGATGGAGGTGGAAATTTTTACCCCAAAGGGTCAGTGAGAACATTAAATGGAATGCCCTGACAATGAATAAAACAGTGACTTACCAGTGCTTCACAGTTATTCGAGTAACTTAAGTTCCAATACTACCTTTCCCGCTGAGGCAGTCACCACCACCAGGATGGACAAATCTAGTCTTCTAGCAACAACAACACACTTTCTAATGTGACCATGAAGTAGAACAGGTAGTAATTTTATGTTGGAATTTTCTGAATAAAATAGAGAAACCATAATGTCCTGTATGTGTACATGTATATTCAACACTTTTGTTGTTGTTCAGCTGTTAAGTCACGTCTGACTCTTTGTGACACATGGACTAGGCTCCTCTGTCTTCTATCTTTCAAAGTTAGCTCAAATTCGTGTCCATTGAGTCAGTGATACTATCTGATGATCTCATATTCTGCCACTCCCTTCTTTGCATTCAATTTTTTGCATCATTAGGGTCTTTTCCAATGAGTTGACTCTCTGCATCAGGTGGAAAAGTACTGGAGCTTCACCTTCAGTAACAGTCCTTCCAATCAATATTCAGGGTAGATTTCCTTTAGGACTGATTAGTTTGATATCCTCGCAGTCCAAGGGATTCTCAAGAGCTTCCTCCAGTACCACAATTCAAAAGGATCAATTCTTCAGCGCTCAACCTTCTTTATGGTCCAATTTTCACATCTGTACATGACTACTTTTAATTATATTTTAACCATAGGCGAATAAATCAACTGGAAAACAATGTTTCCTAAATCTTCCCTAACATGCTTCCCTGAACTTGATTTTGCTTTCCAATCAAGCTCTAAGCATTGGTACAGGAATAGTCTTATTCTGTGTGCTCCAGTCCATCAGTTACTTCACATGAAAATCTTGATACATTTCAAACCTGCTCAGATTGATTAAAGCATAATTTTTCTAGGTATCTTTGTAGAGACCTCATGGTTCACATGTTTACATGTGTATTCTATGCTGGTTCTTGCTTTTATTGCATAAATAGATGACTAAAATGAACTGATAGTGGTCTATTCCCAATATAGACAATACTGTTTGTCTTGAAAATAACTATTATAATTGATATGGGTTAATGGTGTGAATTCCAGAAAAATATCTATTTTCTGCTTTATTAACTACGCCAAAACCTTCGACTGTGTGGATCACAATAAACTGTGGAAAATTCTGAAAGAGATGGAAATACCAGACCACCTCACCCACCTCTTGAGAAACCTGTATGCAGGAGGCAACAGTTAGAACTGAACATGGAACAACAGACTGGTTCCAAATAGGAAAAGGAGTACATCAAGGCTGTATATTGTCACCCTGCTAATTTAACATATATGCAAAGTACGTCATGAGAAACACTGGGCTGGAAGAAGCACAAACTGGAATCAAGATTGCTGGGAGAAATATTAATAACCTCAGATATGATATGACACCAGCCTTATGACAGAGACTGAAGAGGAACTAAAAAGCCTCTTGATGAAAGTGAAAGAGGAGAGTGAAAATGTTGGCCTAAAGCTTAACATTCAGAAAACTAAGATCATGGCATCTGGTCCCATTACCTCATGGGAAATAGATGGGGAGACAGTGGAAACAGACTGGGTGTTCATTGGAAGGACTGATGCTGAAGCTGAAACTCCAATACTTTGGCTACCTCATGCGAAGAGTTGACTCATTGGAAAAGACCCTGATGCTGGTAGGGGTTGGGGGCAGGAGGAGAAGGGTAGGACAGAGGATGAGATGGCTGGATGGCATAACCGCCTCGATGGGCATGAGTTTGAGTAAACTCCGGGAGTGTATGATGGACAGGAAGGCCTGGCGTGCTGCAATTCATGGGGTCGCAGAGTCGGACACGACTGAGCGGCTGAACAAACTAACTAAGGGTGTGAATAGGAAGTTCCTAGGAGATAAATGCAAATAGTTAAATAAATACATGAAAAGTTCAATATCACTCATAGCTAAAGAAATAGAAATTAAAGTGGTAGTGATATTTGTCATGTCTCACACTGGCAAAGATTAATATGCTTGCTAAAATATAGTACTGACAATGAGCACGGGAGACAGAAATGTCCATTCTAATCCAAATTTCAACAATCTAAAAGAAAAAATGATACCTATCAAATTGAAAATATGCATACCTTTGAAAAAAGAAGCACTATTGTTAGGAGTTTACTATAAAATAACCTTGCAAAAATTTAGCAGAATATGTAAATGGAGTTGCTAATAGTTTCATTACTACTACTATGAAAAAATGAAGTACTCTAAATATCCATCAAGATGAGAATAGAAAAGCAAATTATGGTACCCATGGGTACCTTATTTTTGACAAAGGAGCCAAAAATATACAGTGGGGCAAAGACAGCCTCTTCAATAAACAGTGCTGGGAATACTGGGCAGCTACATGTAAGGAATGAAATTAGAGCACTTCCTAACACCATATACAAAGATAAACTCAAAATGGAATAAAGACCTAAATGTAAGACCAGAAACTATCAAACTCTTAGAGGAAAACATAGGCAGAACACTCGATAACATAAATCAAAGCAAGATCCTCTATTACCCACCTCCTAAAGTAATGGAAATAAAAATAAAAGCAAACAAGTGGGACCTGACTAAACTTAAAAGCTTTTTCACAGCAAAAGAAACTATGAGTAAGGTGAAAAGACAATCCTTAGAATGGGAGAAAGTAATAGCAAATGAAACAAGTGACAAAGGATTAACTTCCAAAATATACAAACAGTTCATACAACTTAATACCAGAAAAACAAAAAACCCAATCAAAAAGTGGAAAAAAGACCTAAACAGACATTTCTCCAAAGAAGACACAGATGGTTAACAAGCACATGAAATCATGTTCAACATTGATCATTATTAGAGAAATGCAAATCAAAACTACAATGAGATATCATCTCACACCAGTCAGGATGGTCATCATCAAAAAGCCTACAAACAATAAATGCTGGAGAGGGTGTGGAGAAAAAGGGGATGATCTTGCACTGTTGTTGGGAGCATAAATTGATACAGCCATGATGGAAAACAGTATAGAGATTCCTTAAAAACTACCACATGACCCAGCAATCCCACTCCTAGGCATATACCCTGAGGAAACCAAAACTGAAAAAGACACATGTATCCCATTGTTCATTGCAGCACTATTTACGATAGCTGGAACATGGAAGCAACCTAGATGTCCATTGACAGATGAATGGATAAAGAAGTGGTACATATACACAATGTAATATTACTCAGCCATAAATAGGGATGTGTTTGAGCCAATTTTAATGAGGTGGATGAACCTAGAACCTATTATACAGAGTGAAGTCAGTCAGAAAGAGAAAAATAAATATCTTATCCTAATGCATATATATGGAATCTAGAAAAATGGTACTGAAGAATTTATTTACAGGGCAGCAGTGGAGAAACAGACATAGAGAATGGACTTATGGACCTGGGGAGAGGGGAGGAGGGGGTGAAACGTATGGAGAGAGTAACATGGAAACCTACATGACCATATGTAAAATAGATAGCCAACAGGAATGTGCTGTATGGCTCAGGAAACTCAAACAGGGGCTCTGTATCAACTTAGAGGGGTGGAATGGGAGGGAGGTTCAAAAGGGAGGGGATATATGTATATACCTATGCCTGATTCATGTTGAGGTTTGACAGAAAAAAACAAAAAAAGCAATTATCTTTCAATTAAAAAAAAGCTAATTAAGGAAATGCTTGAATAGCATGCACCTCCATCCATTCTATTAAGTAATATAAGGTTTGTGTGTGTGTGTGTTTGTGTGTGTGTGTGTGTGTGTGTGTTGTGTTGTGTGGAGAAATGTTACAAAGCAGGTGTTATATTCAAATTAGGATAATTTGAGGACTGATTGATAATAGATCTTTTTAAAGTGGTGAGCATAGTACAGGGACCCAAGGAATAGCATACATCCTGGGGCTACTTTCAGTGGAACCCTTACAATCCCTAAACTTGCTGGGAGACAGAAGGCAGAAGCTACCAGGATCTAGACGTCAAAAAGATGTATATAGGTGTCTGTCTTGAGGGAGCACTCATAGAAGAACAAAATTCTGCTTCAAGCAAGCCAAAAGTAAGGGGACTAGAGAAATGTCTTCAGCCCTCACTCTCATTTCACCTTCTGTCTTCCTTCTAGAGCTTCACCTTCTGTCTTCCTTCTAGAGCTTCTGATTGGCCTAACCCAAAAAGAAGCCAAAGTTAAGGAAGCCTATACAGATTAGCCTTTTGAGGTTAAGTAGTGATGTTAAAAGACACAAAGATACAAAGAGCATACTGAAAATAGTGTGTCTATACAAAAGTGTGCATACATATCACAAATATACACAAATAAGAGAAAGGGAGATACTCTGTCCTCATTGTATTTATCAAAGTATTAACTGTAGTTATTAACTATGGTAAAGTGAGATTTGAAATGAATTTTACTTTCATTATTTTTTTCAGAGTGATTTCTTTTTCTTATTAGATGAATATGATTTATATATTTAAAAATAACACTAAAGGTAATTTTATGGAAAGAAGAAAAAAAAGAAAAAGAAAAAAATAAACAGCACAGGATTGGTGGTAGTTCAAAAGAAAAAGATAGAGGAAAGAAGACATGATCCAACATTTGAAACAGGCTTTCCTTAATCTTGCTTAAACCTACTTGACCATCCAGTAGCTCATGCAGCTTCTAGTACATTGTAACAAAAGACACCAAACAAAGCAAAAGCTAAGCATTAAAGAAGTTGTGAAAAACCCAAATGATGCAGGAACAGAAGAAATGAGAATTAAAGACTCAAAACCTATTTCCACATAATCTGAAGTCATGAGTCATAACAGAGTGCACCAGAACTCTATTTTCTCAAAATATATAGAGATGATTCACTACCACGATTTTTAGAAAGGTCATGGATCCCAGGGAGAAAGAGTGAGAAATCAGGACAAACAGAAAAATTGCATTTTGTTAGCAGTGCTTAATATATATTGCATCTAAATAAAGGCTAACATGAAATTCTGACCTGACATGTTTTCCAAGGAAATATTTTTGTTTCCGTATATAGCAACGACAGAGCAGAGATATGAAATGTTTAAATCTCAGCTCAAATACTTACTTCTATCCATGACCTTGAAAATCCATCACACAACATCTACAGATTAGAATTTCTCGAGAATGAGAGATAATATGACTCAAGTTCAGACTGACTTCTTCATTTTTTTTTCTTTTTCATGTAACAGAAGTAAACTGCTAACCTACTTTTATTTACTGTAATTGTAAGAATATCCAAGTGTATCAGCAACTTGGCCCTTATACTGATCAGGAATAAAGGGGACCTGTAGGCCTCCAGCTGTCTTTTCTCATTAATGACTTATTTGTACACACAGTATCACTTCCCTGTGACATCACATAGAAAGACTCTAACTAGTCCCCACTCTGACCAAGCCTCCATTTGTGCCTTTTTCTGACACAACTCTTGCTTTGTATTACGTGATATTCTGGGTTCTGGACCTTGTAGCTTCAATCTTCTAAAGCATCTTTCAAGAAATAATGGGGCTTTTATATCCCTGCCACTCTCCGAGGCACAGTGTATCCTAGGGGCCAGAGATAGACCAACGAACAGTACAGTTATAACCTATACCCTCATGGAGCTCTAGGTTAAGTGGGTGTGATGTCTGATTTCATGGGTCAAATTGGTTAAGCTATAGTTTCCAAATATTTGGTAAACAACAGTTTGGATATTGATATGAAGAGAATTCTAGATGAGATTAACATTTAAATCAGTCAAATTTGAGTAAAGCAGATTATTCTCCATAATGTGAGTTGGCCTTATCTAATCCGTTGAAAGACTGAGAGGGCAACAAAGGATGAGATGGTTGGATGGTATTATGAACTCAATGGGCATGAATTTGAACGAACTTTGGGAGATAGTGAAAAGCAGGGAGGCCTGGAAAGCTAGAGTCCAACAAAGAATTGGACACAACTTAGCAACTGAACAACAATAGCAAATGAGTTGAAGGCCTTTAAAGAAAACAGATTATTGCCCCAAGGGAAAGAGAGTTCTTTCTGAAGACTGGTTTTGGACACTAACTACAATATCAACTCTTCCCTTGATATTCAGGCAAATTTTGGACTTAACAGCCTTCAAACTTGCACAGGTCAATTATTTAGAATAAATTTCTCTCTCTTTCTCTCTCCCTCTCTCATATATAGATGAGACAAGGAAGAGAGCTCTCAGCAGGAATAAAATCAGCTGTTACTGTGATCTTGGACTGCCTAGCCTCCAGAACTGTGAGAAGCAAGTTTCTATTGTTTAACCCATGCAGTCTATAGTATAACCTTCCATTCAATTCAGTTCAGTCACTCAATTGAGTCCGACTCTTTGTGACCATAAGGACTGCAGCATGGCAGGCCTCCTTGGCCATCACCTACTGCCGGAGTTTCACCCAAACTCGTGTACATTGAGTCAGTGATGCCATCCAACCATCTCATCCTCTGTCGTCCCCTTCTCCTCCTGCCCTAAATCTTTCCCAGCATCAGGGTCTTTTCATATGACTCAGTTCTTTGCATCAGGTGGCCAAAGTACTGGTTTCAGCTTCAACATCAGTCCTTCCAATGAACACTCAGGACTGATCGCTTTTAGGATGGACTGATTGGATCTCTTTGCAGTTCAGGGGAATCTCAAGAGTCTTCTCCAACACCACAGTTCAAAAACATCAATTCTTCAGCACTCAGCTTTCTTTACAGTCCAACTCTCACATCCATGCATGACTACTGGAAAAATCATAGCCTTGACTAGATGAACATTTGTTGGCAAAATAATGTCTCTGATTTTTAATATGCTGTCTAGGTTGGCCATAACTCCTCTTCCAAGGAGTAAATGTCTTTTAATTTCATGGCTGCAGTCACCATCTGCAGTGATTTTGGAGCCCCCCAAAATAAAGTCTGTCACTGTTTCCACTATTTCTCCATCTACTTGCCATGAAGTGATGGGACTGAATGCCATGCTCTTCATTTCCTGAATGTTGAGCTTTAAACCAATTTTTTCACTCTCCTCTTTCACTTTTATCAAGAGGCTCTATAGTTCTTCTTCACTTTCTGCCCTAAAGGTGATGTCATCTGCATATCTGAGGTTATTGATATTTTTCCTGGTAATCTTGATTCCAGTTTGTGTTTCATCCAGCCAGCATTGCTCATTATGTACTCTGCATATAAGTTAAATAAGTAGGGTGACAATATACAGCCTTGATGTACTCCTTTACATGTTTGGAACCAGCCTATTGTTCCATGTCGAGTTCTAAGTGTTGTTTCCTGACCTGCAAACAGATTTCTCAATAGGCAGGTCAGGTGGTCTGGTATTCCCATCTCTTTCAGATTTTTCCACAGCTTATTGTGATCCACACAGTCAAAGGCTTTGGCAAAAAGCAGAAATAGATGTTTTTATAGGACTCTCTTGCTTTTTTATGATCCAGTGGATATTGGCAATTGGATCTCTGCTTCCTCTGCCTTTTCTAAAACCAGCTTGAACATCTGGAAGTTCATGGTTCATGTATTGCTGATGCTTGCCTTGGAGAATTTTGATCATTACTTTGCTAGCATGTGAGATGAGTGCAACTGTGTGGTAGTTTGAGCATTCTTTGTCATTGCCTTTCTCTGAGATTGGAATGAAAACTGACCTTTCCCAGTCCTGTGGCCACTGCTGAGTTTTCCAAATTTGCTGGCATGTTGATTGCAGCACTTTCACGGCATCATCTTTCAGGATGTGAAATAGATCAACTGGAATGCCATCACCTCCACTAGCTTTAGTTGTAGTGATGCTTTTTAAGGCCCACTTGACTTTACATTCCAGGATGTCTGACTTTACGTGAGTGATCACACCATCATGATTATTTGGGTCATGAAGTTCTTTTTTGTACAGTTCTTCTGTGTATTCTTGCCACCTCTTCTTAATATACTCTGCCTCTGTTAGGTCCATACCATTTTTGTCCTTTATTTAGCCCATCTTTGCAGGAAACATTCCCTTGGTATCTCTCACTTTCTTGAAGTGATATATAGTCTTTCACATTCTATTATTTTCTTCTATTTCTTTGCTCTGATTACTGAAGAAGGCTTTTTTTTTTTTTAATCTCTTCTTGCTATTCTTTGGATATCTGCATTCAAATGGGTATGTATTTCCTTTTCTCCTTTGCTTTTCACTTCTCTCCTTTTCACAGCTATTTGTAAGGCCTCCTCAGTCAGCCATTTTGCTTTTTTGTATTTCCTTTTCTTGGGGATGGTCTTGTACCCTGTCTCCTGTACAATGTCATGAACCTCCATCCATAGTTATTAGGCACTCTGTCTATCAGATCTAGTCCCTGAAATCTATTTCTCACCTCCACTGCATAATCATAGAATGTTTTATTTAGGTTATACCCGAATGGTCTAGTGGTTTTCCCCACTTTCTTTAATTTGAGTCTGAATTTGGCAATAAGGGGTTCATGATCTAAGCCACAGTCAGCTTCTGCTCTTGTTTTTGCTGCCTGTATAGAGCTTCTCCATCTTTGGCTGCAAAGAATATAATCAATCTGATTTCGGTTTCGGCAATCTGGTGATGTCCATGTGTAGAGTCTTCTCTTATGTTGTTGGAAGAGGGTGTTTGCTGTGACCAGTGTGTTCCCTTGGCAAAACTCTACTAACCTTTGCCCTGCTTCATTCTGTACTCCAAGGCCAAATTTTCCTGTTACTCCAGGTGTTTCTTGACTTTCTACTTTTGCATTCCAGTCCCCTATACTGAAAAGGACACCTTTTGGGGGTATTAGTTCTAAAAGGTCTTGTAGGTCTTCATAGAACAACTCAGCTTCAGCTTCTTCAGCATTACTGGTAGGGGCATAGACTTGGATTACCGTGATATTGAATAGTTTTCCTTGGAAATGAACAGAGATCATTCTGTCGCTTTTGAGATTGCATCCAAATATTGCATTTTGGACTTTTTTTTTGTTGACCATGATGGCTACTCCATTTCTTCTAAGGGATTCCTGCCTACAGCAGTAGATGTAATGGTCATCTGAGTTAAATTCACCCATTCCAGTCCATTTTAGTTCGCTGATTCCTAGAATGTCGACAGTCATTCTTGCCATCTCCTGTTTGACCACTTCCAATTTGCCTTGATTCATGGACCTAACATTCCAGGTTCCTATGCAGTATTGCTCTTTCCAGCATCAGACCTTACTTCTATCACCAGTCACATCCACAACTGGGTGTTGTTTTTGCTTTGCGTCCATCCCTTCATTCTTTCCGAAGTTATTTCTCCACTGATCTCCAGTAGCATATTGGGGACCTGCCTACCGGGGGGTTCATCTTTCAGTATCTTATCTTTTTGCCTTTTTATACTGTTCATGGGATTTTCAAGGCAAGATTACTGAAGTGGTTTGCCATTCCCTTTTCCAGCGGACCATATTTTGTCAGAACTCTCCACCATGAGCCATCCATCTTGGGTGGCCCTACATGGCATGGCTTAGTTTCATTGAGTTAGACAAGGCCGTGGTCCATGTGATCAGATTGGCTAGTTTTCTTTTATTTTGGTTTCAGTCAATCTGCCCTCTGATGCCCTCTCTCAGCACCTACTCTCTTACTGGGGTTTCTCTTACCTTGAACTAGGGATATCGCTTCACAGCTGCTCCAGCAAAGCACAGCCATTGCTCCTTACTTTGGACGTTGGATATCTCCTCTCAGCCTCCGCTCCTGACCTTGGATGTGGGGTATCTCCTCTCCAGTTGCCACTCCTTATAGCAGCCCAAACTGACTAAAATACCAAAATATCAAGATTCTTCATATTTTTCAGTCTCCTCTGGGAACAGAAACAGTTTTCTGAGCATTCTTCCAAATTCTTTTGAAGATGATTATGTGTTTACTGTTCTCTCTACGTATTGTATACTTATAGTCTTCTCATGTGATGTGTTCCATGAACCATCAAAGGCCAGTAATTTTCATCATTTGAAGGACTCCATGACAATAGCTAACTGCTTTCTCACACCTGAGCTGTTTCCACCCTGAAACAGGTAGTAAATAATGCAGATCTTTAGAACTACAGTTTGCAGCTTGAACTTGCAATTCCGCACTACTAACCTCTATTTGCCTGGGGGTTTTATAGTGATATAAACTTGATAAGGGCTTCCTAGGTGGCTCAGAGGTAAAGAATCTACCTGTCAATGCAGGAGAGATGAGTTTGACCCCTGGGTAGGCGGGAACAATGGAGAAGGAAATGGCAACCTACTCCAGTATTCTTGTTTGGACAATCCCATGGACAGAGGAACCTTGGGGCTGTAGTACACAGGATTGCAAAGAATCCAACACAATTGAGCATGCATGCATGCAAGCTTAGTAAGTCAATGTATGTAAAAGACATAGGCTTCACCCAGTTCATGGAAGAACTAAAATAATAAAATTAGTTTTAGTACATTGTAAAGAGGCCTTACAAATAGCTGTGAAATGAAGAGAAGTGAAAAGCAAAGGAGAAAAGGAGAGATATTCCCATTTGAATGCAGAATTAAAAATAATAGCCAGGAGAGACAAGGAAGCCTTCCTCAGCGATCAATGCAAAGAAATAGAGGAAAACAACAGAATGGGAAAGACTAGACATCTCTACAAGAAAATTAGAGATACCAAGGGAATATTTCATGCAAAGATGGGCTCAATAAAGGGCAGAAATAGTATGAACCTAACAGAAGCAGAAAATATAAAGAAGAGGTGGCAAGAATACACAGAAGAACTGTACAGAAAAGATCTTCACGACCCAGATAATCACAATGGTGTGATCACTCACCTAGAGCCAGACATCCTGGAATGTGAAGTCAAGTGGGCCTTAGAAAGCATAACTACAACTAAAGCTAGTGTAGGTGATGGAATTCCAGTTGATCTATTTCACATCCTGAAAGATGATGCTGTAAAAGTGCTACACTCAATATGCCAGCAAATTTGGAAAACTCAGCAGTGGCCACAGGACTGGAAAAGGTCAATTTTCATTCCAATGCCTAAGAAAGGCAATCCCAAATAATGCTCAAATTACTGCACAATTGCACTCATCTCACAGGCTAGTAAAGTAATGGTCAAAATTCTCCAAACCAGGCTTCAGCAATACGTGAACCGAGAATTTCTAGATGTTCAAGTTGGTTTTAGAAAAGGTAGAGGAACCAGAGATCAAATTGCCAATATCTGCTGGATCATTGAAAAAGCAAGAGAGTACCAGAAAAACATCTATTTCTGCTTTATTGACTATGCCAAAGCCTTCGACTGTGTGGATCACAATAAACTGTGGAAAATTCTGAAAGAGACAGGAATACCAGACAACCTCACTTGCCTCTTGAGAAATCTGTATGCAGATCAGGAAGCAACAGTTAGAACTGGACACGGAACAACAGACTGTTTCCAAATAGGAAAAGGAGTGCATCAGGGCTGTATATTGTCACCCTGTTTATTTTACTTATATTCAGAGTACATCATGAGAAATGCTGGGTTGGAAGAAGCACAAGCTAGAATCAAGATTGCCGGGACAAATATCAATAACCTCAGATATGCACATGGCAGAAAGTGAAGAGGAACTAAAGAGCCTCTTGATGAAAGTGCAAGAGGAGAGTGAAAAAGTTGGCCTACAGCTTAACATTCAGAAAACTAAGATCATGGCATCTGATCCCATTACCTCATGGGAAATAGATGGGGAGGCAGTGGAAACAGTGTCAGACTTTATTTTGGGGGGCTCCAAAATCACTGCAGATGGTGACTGCAGCCATGAAATTAAAAGACGCTTACTCCTTGGAAGGAAAGTTATGACCAACCTAGACAGCATATTAAAAAGCAGAGACATTACTTTGCCAACAAAGATCTGACTGGTCAAGGCTATGATTTTCCCAGTGGTCATGTATGAATGTGAGAGTTGGACTGTGATGAAAGCTGAGCCCTGAAAAATTGATGCTTTTGAACTGTGGTGTTGGAGAAGACTCTTGAGAGTCCCTTGGACTGCAAGGAGATCCAACCAGTCCATCCTGAAGGAGATCAGTCCTGGGTGTTCATTGGAAAGACTGATGCTAAATCTGAAACTCCAATACTTTGGAAACCTCACGCGAATAGTTGACTCATTGGAAATGACCGTGATTCTGGAAGGGATTGGGGGCAGGAGGAGAAGGGGACAACAGAGGATGAAATGGCTGGATGGCATCACCGACTCGATGGGCATGAGCTTGAGTAAACTCCGGGAGTTTGTGATGGACAGGGAGGCCTGGCGTGCTGTGATTCATGGGGTCGCAAAGGGTCAGACACGACTGTGCGACTGAACTGAACTGAACTGAAGGTTGTTGCTATACCCTCAAGCTTTGTTCTTAAGCAATATATCTGGGTCTACCTAGAAGCTGCTGGAATCCATCCAATGGATTCAGTGATAAGAAGTCATCCTCTTCACATACGACATTTTAACCACCCTGCCAAGGCTGACTTCACATTTTTGTAAATGATTTTGGTCTTAGTTGACTAAATATTTACTACAAATAATTTAATCATAGACAATTTTAAGAAGAAAAAATACATATACAATTTATCATGTATATTTACCATACTCCTATCTGCCAACCATGCCTATAATGTACTCTGGTGTTGTGATAGTTGCTTCATGGATCTTGTTGAGTCAAAATTGAACTGCTAATGTATGTTTATCATCAGTTTTGAAGGCTCATTATTACTATTTTTCATTATGGTTCTTTTAAATATTTTCAATTTGAGGCTAAGAAATGCTTTCATTCTCACTTGCCTTGGCAACTTTTCTTATCAAAATATTTCTCCAGAGTCAGCATTTCTGAATTACTTTTAACTGTTTTCAGCAACCAAGAGCCTTTTAAGTGGAACAGTTGGCACAATCATTGTAGTGACAAGCACATTTCTGGGTAATAAATGACCCAACATTTACAACTGAAAGAGATCTACATGTAGGAAAAGGCAAACTAATGCAATTCTTCATCTATTCAAATGGAAATCATTCTATATCATAGCCTAAACTTCCTTGGGCCTCCCACATGTGGAGCTGAAAGACATTGGGAAATAGATGTTGTTTTTACCTGTTCTAAAACACCAGCTCCCGATAGTTCCTTCCCTCTTGCCCTTTTTATTCAATTTCTATGGACAGTCCTTTGAAGATCACCCTTGCAAGAGTGTTTTAGGTAATGTGACCAACCCTCAATTGCCAACAACAGTTTTTGCAGATTCTGTTAAGCTCTTCTTTACTATTGCCATTTTGCCAGTCAACATACATCCTTCTAAAAGGTGTTTTAACTTCCCACTAAGCACCATTGATTTTACTAGATGTTGGCAAGATACTTTCATTGGAACTGTGTTAGTTTGCTTGGGCTGATATAAACTAGTGCCATAAAAAACAAAAACGTATTCTCTTCCAGAGTCCCTTGGAATGCAAGGAGATCAAACCAGTCTATCCAAAGGAAGTCAGTCCCCAATATTCACTGGAAGGACTGAAGCTGAAGCTGAAACTCCAATACTTTGGCTACCTGATGGGAAAATCCGACTCACCAGAAAAGACCCTGATACTGGGAAAAATTGAAGGCAGGAGGAGTAGAGGATGACAGAGGATGAGATGGTTGAATGGAATCATCAACTCAATGGACGTGAATTTGAGCAAGTTCTGGAAGTTGTTGAAAGACAGGGAAGCCTGGCATACTGCAGTCCATGGGGTCGCAAAGAGTTGGACACCACTGAGCGACTGAACTGAACTGAACCAGCTCTGTAGGCCAGAAGTCTGAAATGAAGGTATTAACAGGGTTGTACCCTCTCTGACAGCCCAAAGGAGTATTCTTCCACATGTGTCCCTAGATTTTAGCAGTTGCTGAAAATTTTTGGCATCCCTTCATTTCAGCCTAATTTCTGCTGCTGGAGTCATTTGGCTTTCTCCTTTCATTTATGTTCTGTCCAAATTTCCTTTTCACAAAGATACTAATAATTGGATTAAAATGCATCCTAATCCAATATGACCTTACTTTAACTTTATGGCCCTATTTCCAGATAAGATCACATGCATAATTACCAGGGCTTCAGACTTAAACATGATTTCTTGAACATGGCTGAACAGTTCATCCCAGAAGAAAGAGATCATGAAGCCATTAAACAAGTATTTCTCGAGTGTTTACTATATGCTTGGGACTCTCAGCACTCCTTCTGGGATTGCGGCTGCCTCTCATATTTCCATCTACCCTTGCCCACCAAGAACCAACTCTCTGCCATCCTCTTAGGAAGTGGTTAGACCACTAATATGTGAATGTCTTTCAAATGCCAAGGCTGCACAGTGTCAATGACAAAAGAACAGATCTATGTCTTTCTCCCGTTTGTAATTGGTTTTGTAAAGGAGGTACAGAAGCAGTGCTGCTTGTGCCTAACAGTCTTAAAGAGTTTCACATGGCATGGATGGTTTCTTTTTGACCTTTGGTTTTCATTCTACTGAAGGCATAAATTGTGATTGAATGGGTGGGGGCTGGGCCAAGGACAAAGTTAAATGAAAGACCTGGGCTATATTCAGAGAAGAAAACAAACAACAAAAATAAATCATTTTCTGACCATGTGGTTTAAAAAATGGTCCCAGATTCCCTTCCCAGTATCTTTTCTTGAGAAATACTTCTGTGAAGTCTAAGTCTGTCTTTCAAATTAGTTTTTATCTGTGCTCCTTCTATGCAAAATTTACTCACTATTTATGTTATTAGTAATATTCAGACTTCTGAATCATCAGCTTCATTTGAAATTATCCATACCATCTCTCTTACTTTAAATGCCAGTGGCATTCAGTATTAAAGGAATGCTTAACACTCTGAAAATGTAACCCCAGTTTCAAAGAGACTTGTGATCCTAAAATGTTAGTTTTATAGAAAATAAATGAAAAGAGGGATTATTGAGAGCTTATCATTTACTAGATGCTATAATAAAATTTTTATGTACATATGTGCTGTGCCTAGTCCCTCAGTTGTGTCTGACTCCTTGTGGCCCCACGGACTGTAGGCTTCTCTGTCCATGGGGATTCTCCGGGCATGGATATGGGGAGTGGGTGGCTATGCCCTAGTCCAGGGTATCTTCCTAACCCAGGGATCAAACTCAGGTCTCCCTCATTGCAGGTGGATTCTTTACCAAATGAGCCACCAGGGAAGCCCTTATAAACATATATACACACATATATACACACATATGTACTTTATATTTGCACATAAATATGTATACATATATGTATATATGATTAGCTCCTCACAGACACTTATGAAATAAGTAGTAATATCATGTCTATTGGACAATAGCATGTCTATTATACAGTAATAGCATGTCTATTGTACTACTTATTGTACAAATAAGCAGTAATATCATGTCTATTTTACATATCTATTGAAGAGTAACATCATGTCTCTTGTACAAACTGATGTAGCTCCTCCAAACTAAATAAATAAATTGCTAAGGTTGCATAGTTAGAACATAGCACATAACTGTAACTTTTACTTTGCCTGTTGGTTCTCAACAATTTGTATTTTACTTTTGTATTATCATTCATGTAGCAGAATCCATAGGACATTTAAAATTATACTCTATAAATATTTTACATGGCTTTTATCCTTTTAAATTTGATGAGCAATTAGTAAATAAAATATACTCTAAGTGCTTTAAGAAACTATGTAAAAATAAACCAGACAGGTGGAAGATTGTGCTTGGCAAATTGTAGGAATCCCACATTTATGTTTAATGCTGAGTTTAAAGGTGTATCATCCCAGAATGTGTCACTGTTATAATCAGTGGTTGAATTGTTTTATACATAAATTGCATCTTCCAGTGTAATGTATACATTGTTACCTTAGCTATGATGCCTTTTCCATCTGTGGTTGCATGCAAATATTTTATGTATGTGCACATAAATTTCCCCCAAATAAATCCAATTTATTGGTATTAGCATGTGCCTTCAACCTCCAATTTGCTGAACAGTCAATTTATGTTGGAAACTTCATAAAACCAGTTGCATATTCATAGATAGAAATGTCTCTGTAGGGTAATAAATTGCTTCATTTTGTTCTTTTTTTCTTTTGAATTTTTCTAAAGGAGTCAAATGAGGCTAAAGAATAACACTGGGCAGTTTTATTTGTTTGACATAATCACTAACTTGAAAGCAGTCTTTTTTTTATTTATGACTGGTGTTCTTGTTTTCCCTTTTATTTATATATATGTTTTTTATATTTCAGGACAACCTCATTTATCCCAGGCAGCAGGTTAAAAATAAATAGATAAAAAAGTATAAGTATTCAGTTTCCAAAATGATGTCCCTCCCCACCAGTTTATTATAACATAAGGAATACTGCCTTGGTCAAATACATCATGTGACAATGATCCCTAGTGGTCCATTTGAGCAACTTTTATTATCATCCACCCATTTATCACCAGCTTATCCTAGTCATGAGGCATCAATAATGTGTCAGACATTCTGATAAGTATTTAAGTGATTCTTTGTCTAGTGGACTTTCTAGGACAATATATCACTCTACGGTGTAACTGAGCCTTGAACTCAATCAGAATAGAGATATTTCTATTCTGTTTGAGATTAATCTTTAAGGTAAGAGATATACAATTACCTCAAGTAATATGAGTATTTGATAGTGGACAGGTTATTTCATCCAGTCTTGCAACTCGTTTTCTTCATCTATAAAATAACAAAATCAAGACATGCCAAGTCAACACTGTAAAGCAATTTCCTCTAATTAAAAATACAAATCAAAGATAGAACAATTAAAATGTCTTAAAAATTATAGTCAAATTCTTGATCACTGAGGAAATTTTAAATACTACCAATGTTTATTAAAATGGAAAGCACAATTACCTTTAATAATATGTTCCAGAGATGAGTAGTCAATATTTTAGCATTTTTTTGCTTTTATCCCACAATTTTATAAGAAATTATATTTTACAAGATATTTGCATAACAAAATGCTTTCTTTTTTTGATTATACAAGTATCTCCATCAGTCCCCAAGGTTTTATGCATGTGTGCTCAATCACTTCAGTAATGTCTGACTCTTTGTGACCCCATGGAACTGCCAGGCTCCTGAGTCCATGGGATTTTCCCTCTAAGAATACTGCAGTGTGTTTCCATGCCCTCTTGCAGGGGATCTTCCTGACCCAGGGGCTAAACCCATGTCTCCTTTATCTCCTGCGTTGCAGACACATTATTTATCTACTGAGCTATTGGGGAAGCCCCCCAAGATTTTATAGTGATTTTAAAATTGTTTTCTGTGTATTTATAGAAGTTCTTTGGTATCTCTCCAAGTTCTGCCATTGGGTGGGAAACGCAGAAGAAAAACGCCAGCTGTGAGATCTCAGGGTAAATGAAGAACTTCTGCTAGATTCTAGGGAGGTCTGAAAGAGAGTTATGTGAGCAATGAACACAGCACAAAAGGATTATCAGAATTAATCCAATGACTACTACTTGGGGATCCTCATAGAAAGACCATTAAACAGTTCAGAATGAGAATATTGACAAGGAAATCTCTTGGAAAAGAAACTTGGTTATTGAGCTCATTTGCACACTTACTAATTCTGGCTGTCTGGGTTAATCAGGCATCAGGGAAGCACCATTTATGCAACAGTGACTTCTAGGAAAATGATTCACAATGAAAGTAAATGAAGGTCTGTGTTCAATCCAAGAGAAACATTTGCTCAGCTGGAAAGTCAGCCAAGTGGAATATATGCCTGCTCACCTCAGAATTCTGTACTCTATTCATCTTGTATTTAATTATATGATAACGGAAGGGATCTAATGCATACCTACCTCATTAAAACTGCAGAATTTCATAACATTTCCTGAACTGAGAACATTTTTCCTTTTCCTTTTAAGTATGCTTTTACTTTGTGAAGTGTGATGGCTTTGCATTTTTATTGTTTTTGATCTCTTCTTTCATTACCACCCATAAATGAAACACAAATATGAAGCATTCAAGCATTCCTTATAGACTGGTAAAGTGTAGTAGAGAGGATACTGTGAGGGACGCAAAGGCATGGGGAGCTCTTTAGTAAATTTTCCTTTCACCTTCTTTCCTAGTCAAAGAATGCTGACCACTCTTGTTTTGAGCCAGGTATCACAGACTTGACATTAGATATGGGGAGAAGAGTGCTAGTATTCTCACTCTCTCTTATTCTTTTTGGTCTTGACCTAAGAAACTCTAAAGCTGTAAGCCACATCAGTCTTCTGTCAAAAGATAGATAAGAACCAGTTTCTCAAGAACTTATTTTTAAAAAAAAAGCATCAGCCCTGGGCAATCACACATTGTTTGCGATTCCTGATGATCCTCTTGATCATTCCCTCTTGCACCTGTTGTTACTTGGCTTTACCCTCCATCACTGCACAGATGTTCTCTTGAAAGGTCTAATATTTGAAACTAATTATCGACTTTGGGATGCAGTTCCTCTCCTATCTTCCTGAAACATTTCTGTAAGTTTTTTAGCCTCTTGCTTTCATGTCCTGTGATCACCTGATTGAACCAACCTTGGTGTCAGTCAGGAGGTTGTCAAGAAAATTAGTGAAGTTGGCATAACATCTCCTCAAGAACTTCACAAGGCTAAGTAAATGTTTATATAAGTAAAGTTTTTTACAGTAGTGAATGAACAACTCTAAACTCATCACAACAGGCTATTTATATTTAACAGTGAAAACCTAATTGTTGTCTATAGCAGGGGTCCCCAGCCTCTCTAGGCCAGGATGGGTCTGTGGCCTGTTAGGAACTGGGCCACTCAAAACAATGTGAGCAGTGAACCAGCAAGTGAGGCTTTATCTGGTGCTGCCCATTGCTATCTATTGTTCACATTACCGCCTGAACCAGTGCTCATATTACAGACTGCACCATCCCTCCCGTGGCTCCCATTGCTGCCTAAACCACACTGCCTTCGCTATCCTCCCAGGTCCATGGAAAAACTGTCTTCCACTAAACTGGTCCCTGCTGCCAGAAAGGTTAGGGATGACTGAGCTAAAGTGTTTCTTAAGAGCTTCAGAAAAATTAAAAAAAAAAAAAATTCTTAAGGCTCTGTCTCAATGTCTGGTTTTTCCTCTCTATTATTTCCTCATTTAACATCATTATTTCATCTATAAACTTTGTGTTGATAATTAAAAATGTCAAACTTCAATGTTATTATTTTTTTTCTCCTTAATTTAATGGCATCCAGTACTGGCTGAGGATGTGACAGGTATAGTTACATAACTTCCTGAATCAAAGCAGGACATTATGGTCCCTGCCCTCCACTGCCCCAAGTCCTCTGCCTGCCTTTTGCCTGTGGAAAACTTGTCAAAAATAAGCTTAATCACAGAACTAAGAACATACAAAAGCCAAGGAAAATAGTCAAAGGAGACCAAATAATAATAACATAGTCATTAAGCATGGTCAAGGATGTTTAGTTCCTTCTCAAGGACTCTAGAAAATACTCTGATCCATATTTTGTGAGCTGCCTTAGAAAAACCACTAGACCATTCAGGTAGGACCTAAATCAAATTCCTTACAGTTAAACAGATGAAGTGGCAAATAGACTCAAGGGATTACACCTTATAGACAGAGTGCTTGAAGAACTACGGACAGAGGTTCATGACATTGTAAAGGAGGCAGTGATCAAGACCAGTCCTATGAAAAAGAAATGCAAAAAGGCAAAATGGTTGTCTGAGGAGGTCTTACAAATAGCTGAGAAAAGAAGAGAAATGAAAGGCAAAGGAGAAAAGGAAAGATATACCAATCTGAATGCAGAGTTCTGAAGAATAGCAAGAGATAAGAAAGCCTTCCTAAGCAATCAGTGTAAACAAATAGAGGAAAACAACAGCATGGGAAAGACTAGAGATCTCTTCAACAAAATTAGAGATAACAAGGGAACATTTCATGCAAAGATGGGCACAGTAAAGAGCAGAAATGGTATGGACATAAAAGAAACAGAAGATATTAAGAAGAGATGGCAAGAATACACAGAAGAATGATACAAAAACGATCTTCATGACCCAGACAACCATGATAATGTGATCACTCACCTAGAGCCAGACATCCTGGAGTATGAAATCAAGTGGACCTTAGGAAGCATCACTATGAACAAAGCTAGTGGAGGTGATGGAATTCCAGTTGAGCTATTTCAAGTCCTAAAAGATGATGTTGTGAAGTGCTGCACTCAATATGGCCACAAATTTGGAAAACTCATCAGTGGCCACAGGACTGGAAAAGGTCAGTTTTCATTCCAATCTCAAAGAAAGGCAATGCAAAAGAATGTTCAAACTATCACAAAATTGCACATATTTCATACACAACAAAGTAATACCCCAAGTTCTCCAAGGCAGGTTTCATGAACCATGAACTTCCAGATGTTCAAACTGGATTTAGAAAAGGCAGAGGAGCCAGAGATCAAACTGCCAAAACTCACTGGATGATCAAAAAAGCAAGAAAGTTCCAGAAGAAAACATCTACTTCTGCTTTATTGACTATGCTAAAGCCTCTGGCTGTGTAAATCACAACAGTCTGTGGAAAATTCTTCAAGAGATGGGAATACTAGACCAGCTGACTTGCCTCCTGAGAAATCTGTATGCAGGTCAAGAAGCAGCAGTTAGAACTGGACTTGGGCCAACAGATTGGTTTCTATTTGGGAAAGGAGTATGTCAAGGCTATATATTGTCACCCTGCTGACGTAACTTATATGCAGAGTACATCACACAAAATGCTGGGCTGTATGAAGCAGAACCCAGAATCAAGATTTCTGGGAGAAATATCAATAACCTCAAATATGAAAATGACACCACCCTTATGGCAGAAAGTGAAGAAAGACTAAAGAGCCTCTTGATGAAAGTGGAAGAGGAGAGTGGAAAAGCTGGCTTAAATTTCAACATTAAAAAATTAATATCATGGCACATAGTCCCATCACTTCATGGCGGATAGATGGGAAAACAATGTAAACAGTGAGGGACTTGATTTTGGGGGGCTCCAAAATCACTGCAAATGGTGATTGCAGCCATTAAATTAAAAGACACTTATTCCTTGGAAGAAAAGCTATGGCCAACCTAGACAGAATAGAGATATTATTTTGCAGACAAAGGTCCATCAAGTGAAAGCTATGTTTTTTCTAGTGGGCATGCATGGATTTGAGAGTTGGACTATAAAGAAAACTGAGCATCAAAGGATTGATGTTTTTGAACTGTGGTGTTGAAGTAGACTCTTGAGAGTCCCTTGAACTGCAAAGAGATCCAACCCATCCATCCTAAAGGAAATCAGTCCTGAATGTTCATTGGAAGGATTGATGCTGAAGCTGAAGCTCCCATATTTTGGCCACCTGATGGGGAGAGCAGACTCATTGAAAAAGACCCTGATGCTGGGAAAGATTGAAGGCAGGAGAAGGGGACAACAGAGGATGAGATGGTTGGATGGCATCACTGACTTAATGGACATGAGTTTGAGCAAGCTCCAGGAGTTGGTGATAGACAGGGAAGCCTGGCTTGCTGCAGTCCATGGGATCGCAAAGAGTCAGACACGACTGAGAGATTGAACCGAACTGAACTCATAGATATGGAAGCCCTAGGTGGAAGAAGTTAACTGCATTAACTTAAGTTAACCAGACTGTACACATGCCATATGCTGCCACACTTCCAAGAACTGACCTCAGAGAAATGGGAGCAATCAGATGCTGGAAGTGA